GCTAGGTAGGAATGGGATTAGCAGAAAATAGACACAGTCAAGCTAAAAACACCAACATTTTTTTTTCTTTAAGCCCCGCTGTGCCGATGCTTTGTCCTCTTCAAGGAAAAATAACACAGTATGATCCACCACTACTCTACTCACAGCACCCCAACAATTTAACACACACAGCCCTGTGGAGCCGACTTTAGACGCTTTACTTTTTGTTTCATGTGCATTAAACTGCAATTTAGAAGCCATTAATCCATCCCATAATCTCTTACCAAATAAAATCCTGACTAGGTCTAGAAAGGGCTTCCGCACAATTCCCGACATTTAATGGTCCTCTTACATGCTTCCTAAAAATCATTGCGGTCCAACTATGTCTCTTCCTGTCATCCAAGGATAAAGTCTCAGGTGGGTGGAGATACGTCAATGAAGAAGTGCAGCTGCTAACCCTGTCTTTGCAGGTGACCTAGTGATCACAACAGCATCTGGTTGAATTACTTAACACTGCCGTCCAACGGACATGTAATCCGGGATAATGCCCTTTTGCTGAGTGCTCCAATCTGGATAAATTCATCCCTGAGGAATGAGATCCAGCAGCAGGGTCTCAGGGAGAGAGGAGATGAGGCGCTTGGGGGTTGATTGGTTGGTACTAAAGAAAACTGTTGGGGCTGGTAAGAGAGTCTTCTAGATGGATAATGAAGCCCCACCGTAAACAGCTTGATTTTGTTGACTGGCTGCAAGAGAGGAAGCAGATCATTGCCTGGTTTTCCAAGAACCCTCCAAACTAATCATATTCGCTTCCCTGGCTGACCTGAATCCTGACAGACTCGAAGTGAGGCTTTCATCCAGTACTGCAGTCACCGGATATACTGCACTTACTCAAATTCTGCATTTTTAACTTGGCACTGCCTGCAACTGAAAGATTTGGAAGGTTGTGCTCTTACATGAACACATGCCCATCTCTTTGTTTTTTTGATATATGTATCTAGTGTTAGATAAAGTCTTCGCCAAAACAATTTTTTCTTGGAAACAGCATATCTCGTTGTTTGCGACAACTACTGCCAAACATTTGGGACTTACAAGTTCGAGCTGTCCAGCAGCAGCCTCTTAGATTATTTATTCATATGTTTACTTATTACCATAAATATCCAACAGGGCACTCGGCTCAGAAGGATTACAGGGGGCTTAATCTATCGTGGCACAGAAATGAGCAGGGGTCACAGCGGCTGAGGTGACTTAAGCGGGCTAGCCTTGATGGGACATGAAGCACAAACAAGAAAACAAACTGCATGCCACTGGGACCCATCAGAAACTGATGGCATCATCTGTCACTCACTGTGTTTGTATGGCATAATCCAGACAGGATTAGCATTACTTATACCAACTGCCATGTATGGTGAGGGCAAGTCATACAAACAGGAAAGGACACTTCCGTGTTTCTTACCAGGCTTGTACCCAGACTCCTGTCTGAATACAGACATATTCAGTCTGTGTTCTGTGGTTTTAAGTCATCTTACTTGAGCTGGAAATATGATGTATGGCTTATGACAACATGTAAGACAATGTATATTGGTTTTAGCATTCTGATAGAATGGGGATAAATCAATTGAATACCTCTGAGTCATCACAGTCATAATCTGTCCATAAGACTGCAGTGCACCCTGCTTACAAATAACTATTCATAATAATGAGGCAGAAAATTGGTATTTATGTTTGAGTAGTGTTGTGCAACGTAATGGGCTATATCTCTTTTTTCTTTCCCTTTGGAGAAGTGAGAATGATTTCTCCGTCTATAAAAAAATTCACACATCCAGACATGACATTGGAAAGACATTTAATTATACTTTGGTTGAGAAATATGTATCAAAGCCTGGCGCCCATGAAAAGCGGATTTAGAGTCGTCAGTCAGCAGTTAATAGACAGCAGTAAATGAAATTGGGGCTGTTGGGGGTGCTAAGACATGCTTTCCAGGACGAAGAAACAGCTTAGTCTGGCTGGGTGGTGAAATCGGGTTTCTGACATGAAAGGCTGGGATTTAATGAAGGCGATTGGGGGAGATTTTTAGGAAGATTGGGATTTCATTCCTGTGCAGCAGCACTGCCCCTAGTGGGCAAACCTTGACTCGAGGATAGTCAATATTTAATTTCCCTGAGACAGTGGACCAAAAACCAAGTGGCCGAGACAGTTTCCATATAAATTTCACAAGGTGTCATTCAGAGAAAGAAGAACAGAGAAAAGAGAGACGCAGAGGAAAAGAGGCAGAGGGGGAGAAGAACTGAGCCCATACACTTAACAATGACAATGTGTGATTTTTCTCAAGCACATTTTCTTCAGAGCCTGGCACATCCAGGACAAGACTATTCTTAAACTGCCCCTCCTCCCCCGGGACATAATGCTCTCACATAAATTACCCTTTCCCCCGACAGAGGCTAGGGTTCTCAGTCACAGTGCATCGCACAGCAAAATAATAAAAAAATTGATTGGATCGAAGGAAAAATGGGTAAGAGGCGGTGCGAGGAGATGGACGAGGTCCTGGATAAGTTTGGCCAGAGGTGAATGTGTTCCAGGAGTCTTCCAGATCCTCCTGACTGCTGCTGTGTCATCTGTCACTGGCAGGAGAGGTGACAGTGAAATAAAAGGTGCCCTCGATGAGGTAACAGCACAGTCAGGAGCGTCTCGCAGCAACTTTCCTTCTGCTAAGTCTCCCTCTCTTTTTTTTTTGCTCTAGACCAAAGTTGAGGGAGGAAAAGTGCCCAGTGCCTCTGCATATGGGCCGACTCTTCTCTCTTGCTCACTCTCTCATTTCTCCCCGTCTTTCTCGCGCTCTCGCAGGATAACTGCGTCTAAGTATATGACTGCTATGGCCGCAACTCCCCGCTGTCCCCCTGTTCATAAAAATGAAATTGTTTTCTGCTGCTTTTTGCTGACTCCGACTAGGCACATAAACAGACCCGTAATTTGTTCAACGACAGTAAGCTACAGGGAAGCACTTTTTTTACTCCTCGGAGGCACGCATAGAGAAGGTAGGTTGTTATCCCCCTTTTACCTGGCGGGGAAAGAAGTGTTTTATTTTATGGTAATAACCAACTGTGCTGAAATACACAGCAATCCCTTCTCATTCCAGTTGCAGCAGTCGCCTCATTCCAGCTGCTGCTGCCGCAGATACGGTGTTCGTTTCTCCTATAACCTGGGCTAAGCCTGTGATGACATGTGAATGAAAATGTGATTGTCACAGAATAAAAGTCAGAATTAATGTGTGCATGGCAATGAATCAAACCCCCACTGCATTTTTTATGTATAATATAACTAGGACGTGATACAAGGAATTAACTTGCAAGAAATTGAAAAAGCAGGGCAATGCAGCCGCAGTAAGTTGTGGATTGAAAACTCAACAGATGCTGAACAGAGTGTAGAAGAAGAGACTAATGACTGATCATGTATATCTGCGTCACAGTACGCACAGATGGTACAGAAATACTTGACAATGAAATAAGAGGGAGAGGATACAGCAAAGCAGCCACATCAGTAACGCTTACAGCCTCAGCACCGTGTCTGACGTACTATAACTGCCCCGTAACGAAGGCCACGACCTAGAGAGAAAGCGTCCATTGCCTTGACTCTGTCCAATCTCTGGGTGGATAGCTTGTGCAACTGTCCCAGGTCATGCACAGTCCATAAAGAAGTCATAAAGAAAACAGATAACACAGCTGACACCATCTCTCCCGTTAAAGCACGGGAGAAGCAAAGAGAGAATTAGAAGCGGCATCACTCCAGTCATTTTTTTCAAATTAGTCTCTGCTGATATTATCAATTTATTCTCTTTTCTTCATGAAAAATGAGCCAGCAGAAAAGTAGAATCACAGCAAATTGTTCTATTTGATGAGTGGTGTTTTATTTTATATATCTAAATGTGATAGGCTGTAAACCAATTAATGCCGTAGAAAATCTTCTTGTTTCTTTTGTTGTTGTGTTAGCGACTTTGAGCTTTAAATTTCGACACGTGTCAACAAACTGAGACCTCATATTCGGACATTTTGCCTTTTCTGTGAAAAAGGTTACAACTCCCTCTGGGACACAGCTAAACACGCACACGCATAGACACGCAGACACACAAATTCATTCATGCAGTGCCCTCCTCAGAATGTAGTCCGACGCGACGGGGTCACACTTTGAAAAAGAGGTGGCCACTGTGTCATTGACCCCCGACCCTGCGGAGCTTAAAGCAGGGAGCTCGCTGTGGGCCCGGCATGGCGCTAGGAGCTGACAAATACCCACTGTCGGATTCAGCCCTGTGTGCGTCTGTTTCATCCAAATCCCACAGACACCACAGAGGTAGAGTTCTGCTGTACTTTACTCCACCTCTATTGTCTTCCAAAGACAACCACCTGGTGGCAAGCTGGGGAAACAACTAATCCATCCTCATTCTGTCCACAAACAGACTGTCTATGAATGAAAATAATGACAGCGGATACTGTCCAAAGGGCTGGAGCTGCCAGGCTTTACTCATGAGTCTGCCTTCCAAAAGCGCTTTGCCGTTGAACTTTTTCTCTCTCGTTCCTTTTGCCCAGACCCCCCGTAGTTGGACTCAACGGGGAAGGGCTGTCATTTCAAAACAATGTGACTCAGGACTGAACGCTTGACTGAGCTGATCTAGGGTTAAAGGGCTTCGTTTGTGTGTGTCAATGTGTGGGACAGCAATATAAAGCCTGCATAGGAAGTATTTAACTTGTCTGGTCTGAAGCCTACGATGAACTACTGATGGGAAAGAGTGCAGCGTACAACTATTTACAGCCCCAGGACCGCCAAAACTACTTTATTTCCTCCTTTCTCATTAGGCATCAGACCTAACAGTGCACAAAGGAGCGCTATAGTATAAGCGTGTCAACACAACGATGGTAGGATAAACATCACAGCAAGATGAATTCGGAGACACCGTTCCCAGCCAGCAAGTCACACAGCAGTCACAAGCACGCGAGATGTGATGAATTAGCAACTTAATCTGGAAAACTTACCATGTCCGGAGATCCACAGGAGCAGAAGGACCCAAGGGATCATGACTGTGGAGTGTTGAGGGCAAAACCTACGAAAAACAGTGGGCGAGTGTGAAATTGAAGTTGGCAGGCACAAACACATGCACGAGATGAGACAGTGCTCCTCTGTGCTGCTCGGGGGGACGGATGCTACGGTCCCTCAGTGGTGTCTCCTTTTACCAGTGGAAGGCTGGTAGTCTGTCTTCACTTCAGTCCCTCTCTTCTTCTGCTGATTCCTCCTCTTCTCTGTCTCTCTATGAGTCTCCTTCCCGTCTGTGTTACTCTTCAGAGTTGTCGGCGGTCAGCGCTGCCTCACACGCTCTCTTGTTGATGTGAGCCCGTAGACTTTCTGTGTCTCCGCTGCTGACTCTGAGCACACACACACACGCTCACTCTTTCTCTCTCGCTCGCAGTTTCTCGCTTGCCCATCCATTCTCAGTCTCTTCAGCGCTCACTTGCCCCCCCCCCCCCCCCCGTCCCCCCCCCCCCCCCCCCCCCCCCCCCCCCGCCCCCTCCCCCCCCTTTACTTCTCTCTCATGCTCTCTCTCTCTCTCCCTTGCTCCACCACTCACATCACAGACACAGTCAAGGGATGGAGCTCCACAACTAGACTCCTCCCTCCCTCCCTCCGTCTCTCTCCCTCGCTCTCTTTCTCTCTTCCTCGCTCTCTTTCTCTCTTCCTCTCAGCCTGACTGTCTGGGTGGCTGCGGCTGAGTGAGAGGCTGAGAGACTCGGGTCCTCACTCTGGGAACGAGAGCTGCCGTGGGGGAAACAGAGAGGGCGCAATTAGAATGAGAATAGGAGCGACTTGGCCTCTATAGCTACAAATAACACAGGCATCCACAAAACAAAAAGTGTAGTGTTACCCCTCCTCCCTGTTTTGACCCCCTGCCTTTTTTGGATTCTATGGACGACAGTGAATTGAACTGTGAGCTGCCATCCCTGAGAATGGATAAGACCCTATTAGCATTCAACACCAAAGCTGTAGTATTATTAAATCGTATCCTTTTTGTTTTTCTTTTTTTAATAGGGGTGAATTAGAGTCACTCACTCAAGGAGCCACGATGCAAAACATCATAAAATGTTAAAGTGCATCGCATGCTTACTGAAAAGTTCTCCTTGTTATGCTTGTTAATTATTTAAAAAGAGGCATATGTTCCAGGCCAGTCCACGAATAAAAGAGCGCCCTACATGTCTTGTACTATAAAACACCACGCTCTACTGTATATCAAGGACACTCAAGGGTTTCAAGGAAAGGAAGTTACCATTACATTTCAATCTTTATGCACACAAATTAACTGATAAATATTCATTTGAATATGTATTCATATTAATTTGTACCTCAAATTAAAGAGTTGTGTTAAATTTGTTCCCTAAAATAAGTAAAGATAAATATGTTATCTCCAGATGAATAGCATGATATTACAGCAAACTAAGTATCCGGTTGTCATGGCTTCTTTTCATATTTGGGTAGTTTTTATATCTTCATTTCAAACATTTTTGGTAAATAATCTCCATTGTTTTATCCATGCTAGCTGTATGGCTCTAGTTATTGCCATGTCGGACTATCATCTGAACCACCACTTTGGTTCAGATTAAAATATCTCAACAATGGATGGATACCTACTGACTTTAATGAACCCCTAACCCATTCTCCAGTGCCACCATGAGGTCCAATTCCTTGTTTTACTTTCTTATTTTTTTTAATTGCCATGAAATTTAGCTCATACATTTGTGCCCCCCTTAGAGTGAATTGAAATATCTTTGCCTTTGCTGCCTTACTACTGCTGAAAGGACGAGTCCGTGAGAGAGCGTTGGGGAGAGGAGCGCAGCACTGTCAGCGCTAATGATGTCAGCGCTAAGGATGTCCCACTGCCTCATGTCTCACTCACATGTAAGAAAACACCTACCATTGAACAGCTGTTGTTCGTACTCACAACTGTCAAGCTAGCATGTCAGTATAGACAATTGTGCATATCCTTGTTGAAGACTCCGGTCATGTGCAATGAGTTGCACTGTAAGAGTGCAGGCAGGCTGGTCTCAACCAGCATTCGTAGCTTTATCTACGTAAAATAATGTGCTGTGATTGGTACCCGACAAAACCATTTAGTATGTTACCATATGTTCCCCGTGTGAAACGAGAAGTCAACATTGATTTATTTGTGACATAACTTGCATACTTCAGAAACAGCACTTCCGTAGTGATTTTAACCCAAACGACAATCTTTTCTTACTTTTTGCTTGGTGCTAATCATCAAGGCATTGCATTGTGAGCGTGTTAGCATGCTGATGTTAGCATTTAGTACCATGCGTTGTGCCAACAGCCTCACAGACCTGCTAGCGTGGTTATTATAACCATTGCTGCTTTTATTGTTAATATTATTGATTGCATTTTTTTTTTCCCATTTCTTCTTTTAAAACAGATTAGGTAAATCTTAGGTCATACCTTTCTTTTTTTATATTCTGGAACTGAATATCCGGAATATCTTGAAGAGCAAACAGAGGTTCAACCTTGACTTTCTCCTCCTTCTAGACATCCTAGGACCTAGAATCGAGAAACAAAAACACATAAACCTATTTCTTATAAAAAATGATTGGCACGCATATCGGGACTAGTGGGACATACCCTCAATTAATATAAGATGTACAGTAAAGCCCAGAGCCTCAGATGAGAGCTCTGATAAAGACATAGTGAGCACTGCATGGGGGCCAAGTCTGCGTCATATCAATTTAATCCATCCCTTTGACTTCCTAATCTAATCAAAGGGCCAGAGGATGGCAGGTGGTCTTTTCATCAGTGCAACTAACAGCTACACACAAAAACAACCCCACTGCGGCCGATCCAGAGGATAATAGATTTGCATTCTGCCTAAACATGATGAGTAGGGGCAACAAATAACAATGCAGCTTATGTGCTTGAAGGTTGAGTAATGGGGGTGAACGAGGTAAACAGGCAAACAAATGTTTACGTCCACAACCCACAATCCTCGACTTGGTACAATAAACCCTCAGCCTGGATTACATTTTTTACTTTAATATCTGAAACATTTGGACACATTCAAGGATGATGAGCTGAACTGGAGTCATCTTGTTTGTCTGGTCATCAATATTAAATGATATCAAAATCCTACAATAAACTGGTTAAATATAATCCCACTCATTTCAATGTGTTGAGAGAGTTTAGTCAAAAAGTTCACTTTTTGTTAGCTGAAGCCTGATTCTCATAAAAAAATATGTGACATCAATGACATGCTTTGTATTATAATGTCCTTACACAGGCAGATGGGAAACATTAGTAGATGTCTACAAAAGGGCTCCTACACTGATAAACCCACAGTGCACCCACAGGGGGCATAATCTTAAATGACTCGGCAGACAGGGAACTCCTCTTCACAGAGTTTAAGAGCCTCTTCATACCAGCTATGACTATAAGCCACAGTTAAACAGGAGAAAGTCAAAGTGAGCTTAAACAATATGAAGATATAACATGAATTATGTTGCCTGTAAATCACCCACACTCTTAACTGCAGATGTCCAAAATCGGTGTGACCTGAATTTATAATTTAACAAAGTTTATGTGTCTCATGTGAACACATTAGGAAGATCTACCCCCATATTGATAACTGTGTCATAACTGTGTGATTGACATACTTCATGTCAGTATTTCAAATGGTGAATGGACTTGTACTTGTACGGCTCTTTTCTAGTCTTCCGACCACTCAAAGCGCTTTAACACGACATGTCATTCACCCATTCGCTCCCATTCACACACTGATGACAGGGGCTACCATGCAAGGTGCCACCTGCCCATCAGGACTCTATCTAACCATGCATTCCCATTCATACACCGCAGGCACAGCCTACGGGAGAGATTTGGGGTTAAGTGAATTGCCCAAGGACACATCGACATGGACTAACGGAGTCGGAAACCGAACCACCGTACCTCCGATTGAAGGTCGACCCTGCTCTACCACTGAGTCAAAGTCGCCCCAGAACCTTTTTGAAATGAGTATTGCTTATCTTGGATCTCCCATCAACTGGAATTCAATCACCGCATGTGTTAACTTACTAAAGTGCATTTATATTTTGTCCTATATGGTATGCTGCCGTGATCATCAATATTGATCACATTCGGCAGATACAAAATGCTGTGTCTTCCTACATACACTTTCCCTTTGGTATAAATGGCAAACCTTATTAAACAACAACAACTAACACATATTACTGTTTCTTACAGTAGTTTGTCATTGGGGTCCAGTCAGTATTCCTTGTATGTTAAATATAGTGGTGAGGGTTAAGGTTCCATGACCTCTTTGTTGACCTGTAAACCAAGAGAGCAACTGAAAAGCAAAACATTGAATATGTAACAAACCATTGTGTGGGGCTGACTCCCTGCTGCTTGCTTTGCACAGATACAGTCCAATGCAGGTACCCATCTTGTATATCTTTGCTTTTTACAGGGTTTAACATGGCTCAAAGCCACAGTTCTATTAACATGATTTTGACACCTCCAAGCCAGATTTTATCATATAATAAAACCGTGCAACAAAGAAATACACCTCTATTTAAATGTTAATGCTAACTGTATGCCAGAATGTTGGAACAGGGGGGCATGCAGGGCAGAAAGCACTTTCTCTACCGGTGAGAAATGGCAATACATCAGATTTATTTAGTTCTTTCTGAAGCCTGTATGTCAAAGCTCAAGGGGAACATCTTGCAGCGCACAGCAAAACAGGGGCTCCTAACTAATTTAATTAATTAGGTTGGGTTACAAGGTGACCTTTGAAACTTTTGAGGCTTAAAAATGACCAACAACATATCGAGAATCAATCACAAACCAAGAGTTCAGGAGGAAAAATGCAATTCAGAGGACGAACAATTCTTCGTGGCACTGAACGTTAAATTGTTTATGGAAAATATAATGCTTGGCATGGAGAAAACTGAACAAAGTATAATAATTATTACATTATATCATAACAATGTGGTTGCCATGGGAAGAAAAGATAGTTTTGAAGTGTCAAAGCTGTCCTGCTCGCCTTTTTTTTTTTATCACATGCCATCCGGGAAATATTTTGCCTCCTCTCCATTTCCTCACCAGATAAAAAGCAAAGTCTCATCCTCATATATGAGTATACTCAAAAAGTGACACATTAATATGATGGGCAGGCACTCTGTTTTTGAGCTAAATAGAAAGTGACATATCTGTTTATTTCTCTTGGGCCTGCATATCCGCTGTTGAGACACAGAAATGTCTGAAACACTGCTGTCCGTGGACGTGTGTGTGTGTCCCAGTGTGCATGTGTTGTATGTGTGTGTTACCGTCGATTTGTATTTTGAAATTAGCAAATCAGCCAGTTGTCTTTCAAGGAAAGACATCCACTCAATCTTTGTCAGTCAGATAATTCCCGAGAGATGCTTCGTCTCGAGCCCTGATGCCTCAGATTC